CACACACACACACACACACACACACACACACACACACACACACACACACGTGTACCTTGTATGGCCATCCCCTTCACTACGATGGGCCAAAGGCAGTGCCTGTCTAGCTTCTGGATACTCAGTGCTTCAAAAAATTTGTTATCTGAATAAATACAGACTGTGGTTTTTCTTTGTTTTTAAGATAGGGTCTCTATGCTTCAGGCTGGCCTCAAATTCACTATGCAGTTTGGGAGGACGCTGAACGTCTGACCCTCATGCACACCTTTAGTGTGCTGGGATTACAGTGTCCACCATCACACCTGGTCACTGTGGTGTCGGGAACTGAACCCGAGGCTTCATGAATGCTAAGGCAAGTAGCCCACCAACTAAGGGATTCCTCAGCCTCTTGAATGAATAAGAGTTATTTTGAAAATTACAGAGCTGGATGCTGGGTGTGAGGAGGACGAGTGTTTGGGAATGCTTCCGGGTTATCCCTGTCCACAGTTTTAGCCCAGAGCTAAGATCTCATAGAGATGAACCCACTCTGACATTCTGCATCCTCGGCCTCGGAAGATCTGGGCAGGCCAGTGGGGGATGGTGTGGTGACTCCGGGGGACAGAGGCCACCACAGCTCCTGATTTTGTGCATGGAGGAGGTAGAACAGTAGATGGGAGATGCTATGATCATCGTGTGTCACGATCTGGGCATGATACCTAAGCCAGGGCCTAAGTCAGCAGAAAACTGGGTTTTGTGGGGCCTGATATTTCTGCAATATGAAAGTTACAATATAAGGAAAGATTATAAACAACAAAAAATATGAATGTAAACATAGGACCAGGACCTGGGGAGGGCCTATAGGAGTCCCTTGAACATGCTTTAGGTGGGCACTGTTGCTAGCAGAGGCAAGCATTCATTCCTTCCTGTAACCATTCATCAGAAGCACCCACCAGGGAACAGGTCAGAGTAACGCCTGCACTCTGTTCTAGAACTCTTGACTCTAATCAAAAGTTGGGGCCTAGAGCTCCAGAGAGCCTCATTTATCCAGAACGGTGTGTTTATATTAGTTACCATCGAGCAACGTTCAGAAGGAGCGTTGGGAATCTGGGGGGTCAGGTGTTTCACCTAGTGTTGGCTCTGGCCCTGGTTACCTGGGCACCTGCATGTTCAGCTTATTCCCGATGTTGCTTCCTTTTGGGAAATCTAGAGAAGGCGTGGCAGGATGTGTGTGGGCTTTAGAGGTGAGATTTGCAGTGGGGCAGAGGGGAGCTGGCGGGATGGGGAGGAGGATTCAGGCTGTGTGGACTGAGTGGGAGAGGGATCCTAGGCAGTATGGTCCTTGTCAGGAGGGGGCTGTAAAATGATGATACAGGAAGTCAGATTGTAAGGCTCCAGTAGAGAGAGGGAGTCTGGAGAGAAAAATTAGGCATCAAGGACAGGCTATTTCTAGAACACCTTTGTCAAGGTAAGCAATGAAGTGTTATTTGAGGCGTGTTAATTGGGAGGTGGGGAGGCAGAAGGAGAAAGGATAGTATCTTGTTCATCACCGAATCCCAGTTGCCTATCAACAGAGACCAGTGTGTGTGTGTGTGTGTGTGTGTGTGTGTGTGTGTGTGTGTGTGTCCACATGGAGGCCAGAGGTCAACCTCAGTGTCATTCCATAGGCACAGTCCGTTTGAGAAAGGGACGCTCTCTCACCGGTCTGGCACTGGACAAGTAGGCTGTCCATGAGTTCCAGGCATCTTCTGGTCCCTGCCTCCCCTGTGTACCACTCCTGGTGTTTTTAATGCTTTCTTAAAGTGTTGTACTCATGTCCTTGCAAGACAAATACATTGCTGACTGAGCTGTGCCCCTTGCCCCAGTGAGTACATATTTTTAACTTAAAAAAGTAGTATAGTCTCACGGGAAGAATGGGACAGACCACCCTGTACTTCCATGACCCAGCTCTCCTGGGTTGATGACGTCCACATGGCTACGGCAGGCTGTAGTGTGATATTAAAACCAGAGCTTGGGCTAGAGAGATGGTCACTGGGTAGAGGAGCCTGCCACTGAGCCTGAATCTGATGCTGATGCCCGGAGCTCATGCGGTAGGAGCAGAGAACTGACTCCTGCAAGTTGTCTTCCTCCTCTCTCTCTCTCTCTCTCTCTCTCTCTCTCTCTCTCTCTCTCTCTCTCTCTCCAAACGTGGAAAAAAGGAGCCCAAACTCAGGAACTTAGCAGTGGTTCCGTATTGGTAACTGGGGGACAGCTGATGCAGAGCCCACCTGTTACACACACATGTACACGCCTGTGTGTGCAGTTCTGTGCAAGCTCATATAGAGATTGTGTGACCACAGCCCCACGGTCACTAGCCAGTGCTGGTCCCTCACTGTTGCATCCAGACACAAGGGACGCTTCTTGGAGAACGGTTTACCAGCATCTGATGGAAACCTCCGAGGAAAGGAAAATCGAGCCCAGACAGAAAAAAGAATAAGAAGGTCAGAGGTGAAAATCTGAGAGGACATCGGTGACACGTCAGGGTTTTGAAATGTATTTATAAAAATTTGTTTTCTCTGCTAGGAATTATGCAAGGGTGTAGGAGGAGTCAGCTAAAAGGTCCTGTGGGGACACCATTATCAGGGACACACGCCCTGATCATTTGGCAGGGCACAAGTTTGCCTAGAGATGTTGAATCACTGAGATGTGTACGGGCCTCAGCAGCCATGAAGTTGCTTCCAGAGAACACTCACACTCCATTGGAGGGTTCTTTCAGTTTTGTTCAGGTGAAAATACAATCAATCAAATATGAATCCATAAATCCATTATACATCCATACAGCCATTCTCTGGACTCCAACTAGATGCCCTGAATGGAACTCAAGTCACTTACCTAGAATGAATGCAGGGGACTTTTCTTATCATTACTCTTTAAAAGATTTATTTTTATTAATTTTATTTGTGTGTCTGTGTCTATATGAATGTGTGCTGTGTTTTTGTGTGTGCGTGCAAAAGAGGGCGTCAGCTCCCTCTGGTGCTGGATGTGTGAATCGCCAGGTGGTTGTGAGCGGTCTCATGGGGGGGTTGGGACTTGAACTCAGTTCTTCTGGAGGACTGGTAACTGCTCTCACCATGGAGGCACCACCCCCGCCAGCCCTTCTGATCACATCTAACCATTTCCTCCCCATTTGCAGTCAAAGGATATGAACTTTCCTCACGTAGAACAGCAGATTGACTTCGGGATCAGCCCTCTCCTCTACGACCTACATTGGGAAACGAGAGGGGATTGAGGAAGATGCCGTCATGGGTTACAGCAATCCAAGTCTTTGTTCGGAGGGCGTGTTTATAATATGGGTGGCTTTACAAAAACCTCTTATTAGTGATTCTTGAACCTAAAAGTCTGTAGAAATAGTGAAGCTTTATTTCAATGTCTGAATTTTCTATCATCTGTGACCGACAAGCTTTATTCCTGACTTCCTCGGAAAGGACTGGAGGGGAAACAGAGGCACAGAAATGACTCAGATAACTCGCAGCCACAGAGAGTTGTGAAAGTATGTTAGCCAGAGAGGATGTTCCTTAGCACCAGGGCCCTCACTTCCCAGCTCTACAAGTGCGTGAGGGAAAGCCAAGTGGTACCCATCATGGCTCTCCCCTCACCTCAGCGCCATGTGTTACTGGAGTTGGCCCAGAGGGAAGCCTGCTGCCCTCGGGACCTGGAGGAACCCAGCCAGTCTCTCTGCGGGGACAGCCAGGCGAGATGGGGAAAGCAAGTCCGAATGCCCTCACCCGGAAGCAGAGCAGCGCAGAACCCAGACACAGAGGGCACGGTCCTCCACCGCGCTTTGTGTTCACATCGCCTTTGTGCAAGGCAAACGGACCGCTGACGTCTTCGCTCCACACCCCCGTCTGCAGTTCTCCTTCTAAAGCCCTCAGAAGATTTACCAAAGCAGCGATCAGCCCAACACCCACACTGCAGACGTGTGTGTGTGTGTGTGTGTGTGTGTGTGTGTGTGTGTGTGTGT